TTTATGCATCATAATCATTTTCTAAAATAAAGAGGACTTGAATTTTCCTATCGTGCAATCTCAGTTCAGAGATAAGCTTAGGACAGCATCTTCCAAAATGTATCATCCAGAACTCTGGTACTCAGAGATGTTCATAGATTTATGGGAAAAAGGTGAAACCCAGTGAAACTGACTCTAGGAGAAGTTAGAATATTAATAATCATGTGAAGCTCTGAGAGGAGCGTATACCACGAAAAGAAATATGTACATTCAAACCACGGAATCTCTCCCTTTTTAGGGGCATTTTTGTCAGACTAGAGTGATGCTGACCTAGAGAAAAGCTTATGTTCTGCAAATGTGATATAAAACTGCGACCAGAAATCAATGAGCTGTCAGGGAATAGTTACGCAGGGTTCTCTGCTTGGGATAATAATGATAAAAATGCTTACCTTTCTACATCATTTCTTAACTTTATTAAACAGCTCCAAGAGCAGGAGTCTGAGTTGTGGTGTGCCAGCAGCCAGGGTCAGGCATGAGAACCCCTCTGTGTGATCTGAGAGGAAGTGTCTTGGGGAGAAGCCAAGTGAGAAAGCCAGGCAGGCTGCCCATGAGAAGGCCCCAGCAGAGAGGAAGAAACCGGGTGTGTGCCAGTGGAAGGAAACTGAGTATTTCAATAAAATTTTCACAGATCTTATTACCTGTCTACTATTTGACTTAGAAATTGCAATTGTCCTACATTAGTAAAACCAAAGGTGAGAGGAAGAACCTGGAGGAACTCTCTTGGCCAATTGTGCAAGGGTCATAACTCTTGATGGGGATGAGAACCAGGCAAGGAGAGAGCCATTAAAGGTGACCGTGTGGGAACATGTCCTCCACTTCACCTCAGACCCCTTTTCCTGGTGGAAGATGCTGTGCATGTTCCTGGGTTTACTCAGACATAGGCCCTCATTTGCTCTGAGACTCTTCTCAAGTGGGAAGCAGAGTCTCAGGACCATTTCTTTGGCTTCTACTCTCTTGGTAGACTGGATGCTACGGTTTGATGAATGCCGCAGGGACCAAGGTTTCTTTCACTACAGACTCTGACACCCCATCCTGTAATGTCTAGGCTGTCAGACAGACATGGCAAGGCAGAAGAACTCTATCTCATGCTTCTGAGCAGGCAGATTTTGGATTTGGTCCAGAGGGCGTGCTGTTGTGGATGGCTGAGTCCTTCTCAAGACAGACATTTTCCTATGGTATTGAGTGGCGATAGCATCCTCAAGATTTCAGAATAGGGGCTCCTCAAGCTGCTGTTCAGCAAGTGCTGGAAGATAGTTGAGGTATTACATAGGGCAGTGGCATTCTCGTGTGTTCAAAGTGAGTTGGGCACCTTTAGAAAGCAATTCTGTACTCGCCATCTTTCTAGAGACAAAGGTGTGGGTGCCTCCAAGCACGAATTTTATAAAGCTTCATCCACACAGAACTGGTTCAAGAGGTAAGGATCATAGGAAGAGGAGGCGATAAAGAATGATGACTATGTTGAAATCTGAGTACGCCTGGAAGAGGAAAACTTCTCTCCCTTTTACTTTGTTACAAAGAGCACTGGGCCTTATACAGGCAGGAGGAAGGTCTAAAGAAGACCCCACTCGAAGGTGATATTGATATATTGGCATAAGCACAGGTCCCGTGGAACAGATTGACTTCATAGCCACACCCCTCATGCGAGGATGTATAGTCCCTCCGCCTCCTTTCCTTCCTCCTTCGCTTCCTCCTCCCCATTCTCTTCTTCTTCCTCATATAAAAACATTTTTGTAGGCACCATGGTGGCAGATATCTTGTGGGAAGCAGTGGACAAGGCTTATTAAGGAGATGTATGGGTCACAGCCATCTATGGACCAAAGGGAAGCCGAGGTGGCAGAAGCTTCCCCCAGTCCTCCTCTTACAACTTGAAGCAGACTCTGTTGCCCCAATGTTGGGTTTCCAAAGCCTAGTTTATTTTCTGGAGCCCCCTCGGACTGATGGGGAGCCAGGACCGCTGGATCAGGGCTTGGTCTGTGACTTCTATAAGTTTTGTTACCTTAATATGGAGTCAGGACCTAATGATCCTGATCATCTCTGGGATGCAAAAATCCTTCCTGTGGCCAAAAAATGGGATACAATGAAGGCAGGACCCAACAGTTTCCTGGCAGTTGGGTTGTATCTTATGGATATGGCATCTTTAGATGAGCAGCCTACACTCCTGTAGAACAGGCACAAATACCCAGCCTAGAAAGACTTGGCTTCTCCAGGCACCAGGGGCTAGTGGGTGAGGGTGCTGCCATATGGGGTCCCTTTTCTCCCTGGTCTGGAGGGCTGGGGGGCCAATAAATGGTGAGCAGAAGGCTGATGGAGCAATTTGGTGCAGAGGTTCAGGCCAGCTCACGGTGCCAGACCTCTCGAAGCCTTCTCAGAACTGTATCTAATTACTCAAGACCCTGGCTGAGACGCCAGAGCTCTGGGGGCTTGGTGGGCCACCAATCCTTTCTCTGACACAGCCTGTCAATGGCTTTTCTGGCCACTTCCTGGCTGTCAAGAGCCCTAGTGGACTTTTTGCAGCAGCCTCCATCCAGAGGAAAGGGACTGCCCATTTTTCTGCATTCTCTACCATAAATGGGGAAAAAAATGACAGAATTTGAATTGTTTTTGTCCCCTGTGGGATGGAGTATTTTAATTTTGATTATTTGCACCCTGCCTCATTCCTCAAAGATATGAGGTGGCTTACACAAATGCATGTAATATAAAGGAATGAAAATAAATAATAGAATGAGTCAGGGTGATGGGAAAATACTAGTAAAATGAAGCCATGAGAATTTTGTCACCCCAAAATACTGCCAGGGTCCTGTATGTGTTCAAGAGTTGTGTCACAAATTTGTACCTATGGTGAAGGAAGTTAAAGTCCCAAAGTGCAAGTCAATAAAAGCAATTTTAGCAAGGGAATAATTCGATGCAGTCTTTGAATCCAGAACCTTGCCTCAGTTGGGACGTGAATTGTATACTAAGAGCAACATTTTTATTTTTCCTTCTCAGTTTTAATATGCTATTTGATTCATAAAAAGAATATTCATAACCTATCTGTAAGATGTAAATTACAGCAATATAATAAATACCCACGAACCTGCACTCAACCAGAGGATGATGCATTCCATCGCCTGTCTACCTACGTGCTTCCTCCTCACCCATGGTCCTGCTTCTCTCCCACCAGAGAGAATCACTACCCTGAATTATCTTTATCACTCTTTGGATCTTTCATTTTATTTTATCCCAAATGCATAAATACATAAACAGTATTTTTTTTTCAGTTTTGCTGAAGGTAATATATGGACTGAAGTCTTCTGGGATTCTTTCCTTTCCATTCAACATTATTTCCAAGACCCCTTCGTGTTATTGTATGTATGTGCAGTTCATTCTTTTTTACTGCTTTGTAACCAGGCTTTTTGTGAATACACCACCCTTAATCCATTCTCTGTCGTTGACCCTTTAGAGGGTGCTTCTAGTACTGTGCTATTATGAACAGCAGTGCTGAAATCATTTCTGAATATGTCTCCTGGTGCACATATTCAAGCGTTTCTTGAGGGTACATCTTTAAGAGTAGAATTACCAAGTAGACTTTGCAAGATAAAGCTGAAATGTTTTCCAAAGCAGTTGTACCAATGTGCAACCCTGCCAGTAGAATATGAACTTCCTCAAATCCTTATTCTTTCCAACATTTGATATTGTCAGACTTACTAAGTTTTGCCAGTATAGTTGCATAAAACTGATCTCATGTGGCATTAATTGCATTTCCTTGATGAGTAAGGCAGTTGAATTTCATGGATTTATTTCTTTTATGTTTTTCCTCTTCTGTGAAGCATTTTTTCTCACATATTTTGCGCATTCTTTTATTGAATCTTTAGTTATTGATTCATAAGAATATTTCATATGTCTTTTCCTAGCCAGGCAATTTCATTTACCCTCGTTTTTTCCCTATATGCTGATTACTCACCAATCTAAGTATTCAGCCCAAGACTTTCTGTGGAGCGTCACACCCATGAATCCAACCACATATTCAATATCTTTACTTGAATGTCTCATAGGATTATGTGGCTCAACATGTCCAAAAGTGAGCTCATCATCTTCCCACCATGGCCAAATTCTTCTATTTTTGTTTTTCATCTCAGAGATATCACCATCAACGACGCAGGTGTCCAAGCCTCAAACTTAAGTGTGGTTTTTGACACTAGCCTCTCCCTTCTGTGCCATGTACACTCAGTCAATTAGGACACTAATTTCTAGATACCCTTGGAATCCCGTCTCTGCATCCCCAATTCGACTCCTTTGTTCAGTAATCACAGGGGACCCGAGTCGCTGCAGAGCCCTCCTCGCTCGCCTGCTGGCCCGCAGTCCTACTTCCCTCTAGTCCACGCTCTGCACTGCGGCCAGGTTGACGTCTTTCTAAAGCGCCCTGTGTGGTCCAGTTACTCCCTTGTCCAAAGGTTTTTACGGCTTCTAGTTTTCTCACAAAGGCCCAAACACCTCGTGGCTCAGAAGACTCTTCATCTGACCCTAGTTCTCCTCTCGTGCCTCATCCACTGCCGGGTCCTCTGCTTCTCCTGCGCTCCAGTCGTGCCCAGATATGGTGGACGCTCTCTTACCTGATAAGATTAATAAAAAATTGTTGGGTAAAACAGGAATAAAAAAAATGTTATATCCATGTGACGCATATTTTATTTCAACTCAAAACACATAAATGTACATTTGTTGAGCAATGGTTGAAATAGGGCCAAGACGTTTTCTTGGAGTGTGAATGAGTTGATTGGTGCTGAGAGCCATCCTCCTTGCAGAAACCACACCAGTAATGGATTATTTGTGATTTCCAGTTACAGTTGTTAAAAATTTGGATCATAGACTTGACACTTGGAAGCAATGTGAATGCATAATTCTTCTATATTTTAAAGATTTTCTCTCTCCCCTAAACTATTAAAATTGTTTTATGCATATCTAATTGGATACTATTTTCTTTTTAGGACTCATCTTCATGAAATCTTTTCAAAGCGTCTACTTAGAATAAAAACAGCCACCTTCTTTTTGCAATCGTATTTCTTGAGTTTACATGATATCTAATTAAATTCTACGATTAAGCTAACATTCAAGCTGGCGTAAACAGCTTTGGGGACAGTACAGTGGACCCTAGATGAGCAGACGCTTCCTCTGGTGAGTGGAAGCCCGCAGGCTCGTGGCCACGCTGGGTCGATTTGCTGCGCTCGTGAGCTGACTCCGGGGAAGATGGGTGAAGACGGCGTCCCGCTGTCTGCGGTTCTTTAAACGCTCGTCTCCAGGCTTCTGCCTAAGGAGTTTCTTCTGCTTGGAATCCTGTTTCCTAATTAAGTTCACTCCTAATTCTTCTTTGCTTCTCTGTGTATTCATCACTCCATCTGACAAGCCTTCTCAGACTCCCCAGGACTTGGATAGAAACCTCACTACATGCTACCATGGCTTTTGTCTCCCTCTCTGAAGTTTCTCAAAATTTGGGGGCAAGATAATTCTTTGTTGTGGGGGGTCTCTTCTGTGTACTGTAAGATGTTTAGCAGCATCTCTGGCCTCCCCTAGATGCCAATAGCACCCGTCCCCAAGTCATGACAATCGAAGGTCTTCAGATTTTACCAATGTGCCCTGGGGTGAAAAATTGCTGTGGTTCAGAACCACTGCTCTAGATTATAAATGTTTGTTGAATGACTGAATGATCTTACTACTTGGCCTGATACAGATTCAAACAGCAATAAGCAGCATATAAATTCTGGAAAGTGTTCAGGTGCTACTTCAGACAGTATCTCCATCCTGTAAAGTACAATTCACTGCATTCTCTATTTGAAGCAGTGCTGCCAACCTAGCAAGCTGTTTTTGCTGTGTACAGGAGAAGACTGCTAGTGATGTTTTGTATATTTTAAATTATTTTTCAGCCTGCTACAAGTTTGTCCCTCTTTCATTGTACTTTGCCTTATGCTCAAATCTTAGGCCTTCACAGTGGGAATGATACACTCTACTGGTCAACAGAGATCTACCAATACATTTCCAAGTAAATTCTGAACTCCGTGCTCCTGAAGTTTCTGTAGGAAAGAACGTGAGTAAAGAAGGAGGGGTGGGTAAGGAGTATGGTTCAGCAGTCTCTCTGTATTCAGAGTCTTTCTTCAACAGTCTGTCTGTGCCCCAGGAAAACAAGCTCACCAAACTTCTAGGTGGGAATGGTTTTCCAGGCCCCTCGGCACTGTCCCACTTATCTGTGGGAACTTTACTCTGTTGTCTGACAAATATTTTTGAGCACCTAATATGTGCCAGACGCTGGGTTAGCTGCTGGCCATTCTACACGTGCTATGTGATTTATCCATAAACATAAATACGCTAGTCCCTCACTGGGCTAGGAGTGGTCAGAGCCCTCTGCGTTATCCAGTGTATGCCTCCCTCCATTTCAGGGCCTGTTGGGAGGTGACTCAGAAGACAGAAATGGTTGAAAGGCTGGCTGTCTTGCTTGAGGAGTTGCTCAGAACACTGAGGTTCTCTTCTGTGGGAGAATCAGTGCTGGGGTGACAGTCTCATTAGAAACAGGGATCCCTCACGATGTACGAATCCACGCAGCCCAGACTTCAGGAGACCTTCCTGACTTGCACGCCGGCACCCAGCAGAGATGACCGGCAGCCCCACCCTCACACCGGCCTTGTGTTGTGTGCTGGTCTGCTGACCTTCAGTGACTGAGGGGTTCTCTCTGTGAAATCCCTACGCGCTAAAACTCTGTTTCAGGAAGATGGATTTCCATGATCGTTCTCAGGATTAACTGTTGTGGTTTGTGATTTTTCCCTTGAGCTTTTGGAAATAGCAAGTCTGATGACAAACCTCAGAAGGGCATGTTGGCTTTCTGTTAACTGATTGCTTGCAGAGGATCTGAGGGACATTCCTGCTGGGCTCCTGGCTCGGGTCCACCCTGGCTGCATTTTCCCTTCTGGACACTTCTGGCCCTGGAAGCACATACAGCGTCACCATGGTGACTCTGGGACAGACGCTTGCTGTGAAAAGAGCAGGGGATAAAGTCCCTCCTCTGAAGCTTTCTTAGGAGGGACGGAGGCCTTTGAAAGCTTTCAGAATCACCCCGTTTCATCTCCGGGCTTTGACACAGAGGCAGCCTCCTCAGTCGTCAACATAGAATCCGTCCCCTTTACTTTTGCTTTGCTGGTGAAAGTGAATGAAAGCAGTCGAAGATCTGAAGAAGACTCTCCAGGATGACCAGCCTCACACCCCAAAGCCCCTCCTTAGGATGGTTAGCCGGTCGACAGGTGGGAGGCGGCACTGATGGTGATCAGGGCTCTCCACCCTGGACTGTTAAGCTCCCTGTTCTCGCACCGAGACTTCTCACTTCTCTCTGTGAGTTTCTGTTGTGGGCCCTCCTGTCTCTGTTCCCACCCTAGCTCAGGCTGTCACTTCCTCGTGTCTGCGTCTTTGTGGCAGAATCCCATCTCTCCTTGCTTCTGATCCCTCTGTCCACCCCCCTCCCCAGCCTCTGGCTGTCCTGTGTACTGTGGAAGACTAATCTTTCCAGGGTCATTCTTGAGGGATCTCATTATGGCCCTGTCACGCTGGGTTCTGGTTCATGTCCAACATTTTTCCCAGGTAAAATCAGGTTTAAATGAATATCAAGCAGTGACAGGAGAAACAGCTGCAGCCTGAGGAATGTACATAGCAGCAGAGACATGATGGAGAAGACGGCGGTGGTGGGAGAAGGTCAGTAGGAGGGACTCGAGGCAGGGCAGGATTTATGTGTCAGTCCCACCTTATGGGATGTGCCCAGAACGCCAGCTCCTATCACTTGGTAATACCTTTTCGAATGCCGTGCTGAGGAAGGCTCTGAAGCCGCACTCTACTCTATAGTCAAGAGTGACGGTGGTTGACTGGCAATGCTTGTGGTTGGTGCAGCAAGAGGGACTTTTCTCCTCTGAAATAAATTAGTGTATCTTTGCTAAAGGTGGATGTGAAGAAAGTCAATGACCAGAGGTCTGTTTGGAGGAGAAACAGCAGACCTGAATTATTCAACTTTCACCATCACCCCTTGATTCTGGAAGGAGGGTCCACCCACTTAGCAATCAAGTCCAAAGTTCTCTGTCTGGCTTTCAGGATTTACCTCAACCTGGCTCAGACAGCTTTAACTTCCACTCCTCAACACTCTCTGCTGTGGTTAGGCATCTCACCTTCTTAGGCCTTGAAGGCAACACCCAACTGCCTGCTTTCCTGTCTTGAGTCCAAGGCCTCTCCTGTCTTTGCCTGCTGAAATTACTTGTTGTAAAGGCCAAGCTTAGGACCACTTCCTTCCCCAGCTGTGGAAACAGCTCCACCCTTGGAGATCTCTCTGCTTCCTCTGTGCAGCACTTTCCCCTCCAGTTCGCATGTTTCTGGTGGGCACACGTCTTCCCTCACGGCTTCCTGTGTGTTAGGCCTGCCCTGCGGTAGACAGAGCTCTAGGCCACAGACAGTGTCTTGCCTTACCGAGCCCTGAGGACAGGGCCAGACATGTGGGGTGTGCTGGTTTCCAGCTGTTGAGGTTCTATTTTCTTTCAAAAGTTTGCATGGGAGGTGCGACATTCTCTTGGTTTCCTGCCCAATACGCATTCCCCTCTTCTGCCTTGGTCACAGAACCCAGTGTTATTTCAGTAGCACTAAGCCCAGCTGAGAGGCTGTCTTTCCCAGTCCACCATACAGCTGAAGGTAACAATGACAGTCAAGCAAACATTGCTGGATGGGACTTCTGGCCAAGTTTCTTCAGAGGAGGACAGAGGTAGGTGTTTTGTAAATATTTTCTCCCAGTTTGTGGCCTGTCTTTTTACTCTCTTAACAATATCTTCCAAAGAGCAAAAGTTATTAATTTTGATGAAGTCCAGTTTGCCACTTTTTTCTTTTATACTTCTGCTTTTTGTGTCATATCTAAGAAGTCTTTTCCTAACCCACAGTCATAAAGATTTTCTCCTATATTTTCTTCTAGAAAGGCTCTAGTTTTAGTACTTACTTTGAGGCTTGTGATCCATCTTGAGTTAATGTTTATACAAGGTGTGAGGTAAGGGTCGAGGTTATCTTTTTCTTTTTTTTTGCAAAGAGGTGTCCCATTTAGCTGTTCTGACTCCTTTAATTTGCAGTGGAGAAAAATCATAGCCCAGATAAGTGAAGTCACTTGCCCTAGGTCACACAATTAGAGGTCAGACTGGAACTAGAAGCTGGGTATCCTGACAGCCAAGCCAGCATTCTTTCCATTGTACACAGAACAGAAGATGAAAAAGCAAACAGACCTAGCAGTCGGCAGACCTGGGTTTGCATTCTGACTTTTTGCTTATGAGCTATGTAACTTTGGGAGAGTCACTTAACCCTCCTAAAGTGACTGCGTCCTCATTTGAAAACAGAGAGAAATATCCAGCAATTATTGATCAAGCACCTTTTCTGGACTAGCACATACTATTTTGGTCCTGGGTACGTAGGAGGGAATGAGACAGGCCCAGGCGTTCAGCCCAAACACAGAGCTTACATCCTAGTGTGTGTGAAGGAGGAGACAAGTGCCTCTGAGAAGGTTATTGTAAGTGTTAAATGAGGTGAGAAGTGTGCATCTCTTAGCACAGTTCTTGGCAGAGTAGACATTTAATAAATGGTAACAGCAATTACAATTATTACTATATATTCAAAATATATATATTCAGTGTCCCAAAAGAGGGCAAATGCTTGGGGTGGCAGGGCCCTGTCTCAGTTTCCTATCCAGTAGCGCAGTGTCTGGGGTCCTCCAGGCCACCCAGGACAGTCTTTTCAGTGACCAGAGGACGCTCTAACCTACCTTCAAACCTAAGTAGGGTCCTCGGGTCTGAACTTCTCTGACAGCTTATTGATTAACCCAGATGCCACCCTTAGTTTCTTAGCTGGGTCGTCTCCTGAAAGCCTGCAAAGGCTGGTGACCCTCTGCCAGCCCCCTGTGCCCTGCAGCTGACATTCCCCCAGTGGCCCACTTGGCTCCTTTGCACTTCTCTGGCTTCTGAGCCATGGCCACAAGGCCCTGCCTTGGTTCTGGCTCTGGCCTGCCATTTTGTTCCCTGATCCCTCTTGTGGGACTGGTTTGCTCCCTCCTGCCCAGCCCTGATGTCCTCCCTGGCCCCTCTCAAGCTGCCAATGACACAGTTCCTGCCAACACTCCAGCATAAGCCCTTAGAGCATGAAGTCCACTTCCTGCCTCAGTCTTATCTCATCACCAGGCCCACAGTCCATTCTGAAGTATTGGGACTTATGGGTGGGGAGAAATGCCCTCGGCTTTAGAAGCTTGCAAACTGCCTACTCTATCCACCTTCCCCTCACATATGAGGCAGGGTGAGCCACGACTTGGGTTGTTGGGTGTAGAGATGGCTGTTTAGAAAGGAGAGAAAATGGGAATCAGAATGGCCCGTGTACACGTAGTAGAGTGCTGTTGAAATCACGTCTCTCCTTCCACTGTCAAACTGCAAGGGTGTTTTGTGAATTTTTCCTGATATATTGAAGTCTACTACTCCAGTTCAATCCTTAGGCTCTCCAAACCAGAGGAGGTTAGGGTTATAAAATGAGCAATATAAGTTTAAGAGAGTGTATTTCTGGATAACAAGCCAATTTCTGAATAGTCCATGTCTCTTCAGCTTCTCTTTGGTGAAGATAATTAAAAATTAGATAGTCACAATAGCAAACAATTACGGAGCCCTCAGAGATACTGTTCTAAGTAGTTTAGATGTATTAACTTATTTAAGCCTCAAAAAACCTTCTGAGGTAGGCACTATTATAATTCACTTTATTACAGAAGAAATTGAGGTACCAAGAGGTTGAGTAATTGGTCCAAGGACACACAGCTGAGATACAACCCCCGGCAATTTAGCTCCTGAGCCATCAGGCCATACCACCTATGATCCATTTATTACTCAGTAACTCACACAAGAGAAATGCCTTTTATCTTTCCCAGGCAAGAGTAGTAATTTAACATGAGTGCACATTCCATCCACATTTTGTTGTCAGAAACTGTTACTAGGGCAGCAATGGAATGGGAAGAGCAGTGATAGGTGCCAGGCCGTGGATTTTCCTCCCTGCTGCGTCAGGCCAGGAAGGGCACCTCCTTCCTCTCTTCCCTTGGGATAGGCTGCAGCTTTTATCTCTCCTTAGTGGCAGCCTCTGGTCTATCCAGCTGGGGAGGCCCCCTCCTTGTCTAGACTGTCTCTGTTCAAAAGAACTTGTTCAAAAAAACCCAGAACATTTGTAAATCAAGATATTCTTGAATGAGAAGTGATTATTCTGATAGGTAAACTGAAGTCAGGAGCTGGACGTGTATAGCTCAGCCTTTTCTCCTCATGCACCTTGCACCTGCCGAGGCACTCCCATTATGCTCTGTTGCTGCAGCAGAGAATTTAGAGGACAGGCCCTGCCCCTGCAGGTGAGCCACACCTGGCCTAGGACTGCCATAGCTGGGTGCTTCATCCGCTGCATTTCAGAGTGCAGTGTTAGGAAGCCCATTGTTGCTGCATATCTAAGCCATGTTTCCACCAGCTATTTCAGTAACAAAATTGATATTTTTATCCTCCCTTTTCAGTTGGTTCCAAACATACACAGGAAAAGGGAAGCTAACTATTTTCTTTCCTATCACTAAAGTTGGCTAAATCAACCATGATTCCGTAAGTATGGTTAAAATATACGTAGGTACATACACACAAATACACATACATAAAGAGCTATAAATCAACAATCACCAGCATTTTAAGGCAGGATGTATGCAGTGGTTTTACTTTCTTCCATAGGCTGAATCTACTGTCCTTGGCAGCCGGACTCCTAGGAGGTGGAGAAAGTCTGAGGGTCCTAAAGTAAATTATCTATTGTCCATGGAACTGAGCTTTCCCTAATCTGTCTTTTCAAGTAGCCAGTATGGAATGCAGCCTGGGTTTGGTGATCTCAAATCTTGGTGCAAAGGAAATAGTTAACTAGAAAGATGAACATTTAGAAGAGAATTTGTTCACTACCACAAATTACATACAATAAATGTCATTTCCTGAGTGCCTATTATATAGCAGGCATTTCAAGACCCATTCTTTCAGTCATTATCCTGATCAACTTTTTTAAAAAAATTATTTTATTGAGGTCATATTGGTTTATAACATTGTATAAATTCCAAGTGGTCATTATTATATTTCAGTTTCTGTATAGACTGCATTGTGTTCAATACCAATAGTCTAGTTCTTAATCTGTCACTATATATGTGCCTCTTTATGCCTCTTGCCTTCCCCCCACTCCCTTCCCCTCTGGGAACCACCAATCTGTTCTCCTTATCTATGTGTTTGTTTATCTTCCACATACGAGTGAAATCATATGGTATTTGTCTTTCTCTGTCTGACTTATCTCAGTTAGAATAATATCGTCAAGGTGCATCCATGTTGTCACAAATAGCATGATTTTGTCTCATTTTTTATGGCTGAGTGATATTCCATTATATTTATCTGACCAACTTTCTGAGGAAGCTGGGAAGCAGAAAAGTTGAGGTACGGGGAGTTGTACAGAATCAAATAGCAGGAGGTAAGGTTTGAACTCAGGTTTTTGACAACAGGGTATGTTTTCTTTCCATTATATGATACTAAGGACTCAGAATTCCATTAAATATAGATATATGATATAGTCACTTTTTTTTATATAGTTTTTTTTATTGAGTTATTGATAGGTTACAATCTTGTGAAATTTCAACTGTACATTAATGTTTGTCAGTCATGTTGTAGGTGCACCACTTCACCCTTTGTGCCCACCCCCCACCCCACCTTTCCCCTGGTATCCACTAAACTGTTCTTGGCCCATAGTTTTAAATTCCTCATATGAGTGGAGTCATACACAGATTATCTTTCTCTTGCTGGCTTATTTCCTTAACATAATTCTCTCAAGGTCCATCCATGTTATTGCAAATGGAATGATTTTGTTCTGTTTTGCAGCTGAGTAGTATTCCATTGTATATATGTACCACATCTTCTTTATCCATTCGTCTGTTGATGGGCACTTAGGTTGCTTCCACGTCTTGGCTATTGTAAACAGTGCTGCAATAAACATTTGGGTGCACAGGACTTTTGGGATTGCTGACTTCAGGCTCTTTGGATAAATACCCAGTAGTGGGATGGCTGGATCGTATGGTAGTTCTATTTTTAGTTTTTTGAGGAATCTCCATACTGTTTTCCATAGTGGCTGCACCAGTTTGCATTCCCACCAGCAGTGTATGAGGGTTCCTTTTTCTCCGCAACCTCTCCAACATTTGTTGCTATTAGTTTTAGATATTTTTGTCATTCTAACGGGTGTAAGGTGATATCTTAGTGTAGTTTTGATTTGCATTTCCCTGATGATCAGCGATGATGAGCATCTTTTCATGTGCCTATTGGCCATCAGTATATCTTCTTTGGAGAAATGTCTGTTTATGTCTCCAGCCCATTTTTTGATTGGGTTGTTTGATGTTTTGTGATTGAGTTGTGAGAGTTCTTTATATATTAAGGATATTAAGCCTTTGTCAGATATATGACTTGCAAATATTTTTTCCCAGTTAGTGGGTTGTTTTTTTGTTTCAATCCTGTTTTCATTTGCCTTGAAGAAGCTCTTTAATCTGATGAAGTCCCATTTGTTTATTCTTTCTATTGTTTCCCTTCTCTGAGAAGGCATGGTGTCCGAAAAGATCCTTTTAATACTGATGTCAAAGAGTGTACTGCCTACGTTTTCTTCCAGAAGCCTTATGGTTTCAGGTCTCACCTTTAGGTCTTTAATCCATTTTGAGTTTATTTTGGTGAATATAGTCACTTTTTAAAGGCACTTACAGTTGAGCTTAAAAGACAAATATATAC